AAAGGAACCGCCAAATAAGGCAAACAACGATGTCGATGAAGCGGAGAAAAATAATTGGGCCTCTTCGCTTTTCTTTCTCCTTGTCAATTTAAGAATAATGATAGTGTATAGATCGTTCTAATACGGTTTAATTGTTGAACTGAAATATCTCGTTGATTTAAACAAGTGTGAAAATGTGATAATATCGAACTTGCGAATGTAAATGCAGTAATTCCATTGTTATCTATTGCAGATGGTGACGTGGTGGTTCACGACGTTCATGGCTCCAGCCATCAAACAGAAGGTTCACAATTTACCTGGAGTAGAGTATCTTTATGACGTGATGTCTCCCGAGCAATTGGAGATTCCTGCATATATCACGGAATACGACATGACGGTACGGTCTCTTTACAGTTCCTTTTATGGTATTAACAAGGAGATACGCAAAGTTCTAAAAACTAGATTCTGAATAAAGTAAAAATAACCGGCGTATTGTATAAAGTAGTAAAATAATAGAAAAATGTATTAAAATAGCAGATATTTCTAGAAGTTCAATACATATATCATAGATATAAAAAGATGTCATAATTAAGAAAAAAAATAGTTTATCACAGTGCTAAAAATGTATCAATTTCTTCAAACTTTACAAGATTGAAAGATATAGATGTGAAAGAAGATGTGTTAGAATAACGAAAATATTAACAAAATTCTTTGAATTATTTTTGATACTCACAGTGTTAAAAGAAGAGACGTTACAGTTAAAGATCACCATGGACCGCAATTTTTTTCTATGAAAAAATACATATTAAGAAGATAATTCCCAATTACACTAAGAATTATGAAATATTGCAGATAAACGGCATGAGGTACTACCAGCCGGATCCAATCTCGTCGTCACCTTCGACGTCCACGTAACTCTCCGACCCGGCCTCCCAGCCAGCGAAGCACTGGACAGAACGAAGCTGTCGGATCGACCGTTCCGCTCGATAGTATGGTGTCCGTAATGACACGCGCGTGTTCCCTCGTGTACCGACCACCGTATATCGCTTCCACCAGTTCGGCACGATCACGTTCTAAGGAAATCTGCCAAAGGAGGCGAGTTGCTGATCGATCAGAGACAGTCGGTTCCTCAAAAGCGGCAAAAGTGCCTGGTGATGGACGGGAAACGTCGAAGAATTTGGAAGATGAAGAATGGTCGGTGCTTCGCACGACAGTTATTTCCCGATTGATCGCTGAAGAATCAAGAAACCACTGCCCATCTGTCTGTTTCTCGCTACGAGTCGCATGCTCTTTGCTGGAGGAAAAGAGATTTCTTCCGGCTCTTTAGGTTTCCTATGAAGAACGTTTGGCCGTACATTGACCGATGCTGGACTATATCGAAAAAATTAACACTCGAGAAACACCATGAAATCAATGAAATCGAAGATCGAGGGAGAATCAGGAAATTGCTATTCGCGTGCTGCGCGGATATCGGCTGCCAAAACACCAATAATCAGTATTCTCGTCGTCGTTGTTACGATGGAACGTGGGATCTTGTTGTTCTTATAAATAGGTAGCTATTGTACGGTTTTAGAATCAGAAAAGGAGCATTGTTGGTGGATATATGAGGAAAAGGGCGTCGACGACGAACCATAGAGTTAAATGACGGCTTAATATGAAAACTGTCGATCGCTTTTTTGTTATTTTCTTATCCGTCGTTGTACAGCAAAAAGTGTCTATTCGATTATTGTACATCGTATTTTATTATGTCACGTCGTTGGTGAATGAGTCGCGGGTCGCTGGCACGCGGTATTTTCGATATATGTAGAAAAAGAAAATCATGAAGAGAATGGTATATAACATTGCAACTTCTCGGCTGACAGGATGTAAAGAACGGCAGGTTCTTCCCGTGGCGCTACGGCTTCGGTTCTTTAGCGTGGATCGTTTAATCCAACGTGTAGGACTGATTAACGTTAAGTGCTCGTTCAGTACGTACTTCGGGTTTGTCCACGATGGGTCAATTTAGTGTCGTCTTAAGATCGTTCATTTCCATATTGTAATCTTCTAATGAAATGAAACGAACCCCAATGACGCCTAGTCGATTCATATTCGACGTGAATGAGAATGCCAGAAAAATTCAATGGCTGAGCGCCGAGGTCGTACTCGCGGTTCAATTCTAGATTAGATGAAGCAATAAACTCTAAAAGCTTTCTCGCGATCTATATACATATGTATAGCGTGTTCAGTTCAAATATAAACACACTATTTTACATCTAATTATTAAAATCTATAAACAAATTTTTCATATGAAAGTTGATTTGATGGGAGAAATTTAATTTGAAACTTGAATCATCTTCTGAATGTTTCAAATATTATTCAGTGTTCTACGTTAAATCGAATAACTTTCATCTAAAAAATTTGTTCACATTTTTTAACAGTTATAAAATTAATAGCATGTATATATATATATAAATCGGATGTACTTCATACACATATGTATATATTTCGTGAAACCGGATCGTTATACTCGTTGTTAAGCATTTTTAGGAGCTCGAAGTGGCGAAACAAAATGTTGACGATATCGCGTTCGTAGACCACGTCGATTAGCCCATTTTTCTCGCGCCGTTTCACTCTCCTAAGGGTTTAGTTGAATCAGAATCATTCAGCAACCCCCTCAAAAAAAGAACAAGAATTATTGGCTCGTAGTGAATGAACGAACTAAGAATAATGGGTTATAATTGACCGTACCTCCGAGTCAGAGATGTGTGTATACGTTATAATTTTATTATTATTAACTCCAAATATAGTTCAAGGATGCTTGATCGTTGAGATGTCTTTTTATTACTTTTTATTGTGTTGATGATGTTCATTGACGTTAGAATAGCGTTAGAATAGAGTTTCATTGAAACAAACGTGAAATGAGAGTATCCTTTCATCCCAATAAAAAATCAGTTTACTTGCTCGTTGTTCTGCGACGAAAATGGTGTTTTCAAAAACTCATTTCACATTATCCAAGCTTTTTATTTCGATGTTATTGAATAAGAGACACGTACTTGAATTTTTTTCTATTTCTTATATCATTAAGTATTATATTACAAGCATATCACGATTCATTTGCGTTGGTAAAACCATTTTGATAGGTCTGCGTATATGAATTTCCTGCACAGCATGCACAACATGCTACTGACGTAACTTCTCTGAACGTCTTGATACTCTTCTATAAATAATTTCGCTTCAAGGAACCGTATCATGTAATCAGCTCTTTCTAAAATCTTCCACGAACATTCTGCAAGGATTTGACTGCTTTGTAGACCACTTTTATGATTGATTTAAATACTTCATAAGCCTTCACCCACCTCGTTTTTTTTTTATCTATAAAACATGAGATACTCGTTACGGTCATTAAAGAGTCCATATCTTATCTTCTCGAAAAATAATTCCTGAAGTTTCCACAATAATTTCTACGATACACGTACATTTCCATGATATTCGGTCCGTGTCTCTGTTCCAAGCTTTTTCGATTTAAAAATTGCGTACACGGGACACGAGTGGACCTGAGCGTGACATGAAATCTTAAGTCAATCGTTTGGTCTATCGACCGTGTCACGTGACGATTCTTTTCGACGATTTGCGTTGAACGACCTCACTGTCCGTCCCTGACAATCGTTTATAGTAAGTAGCCAAGCGTCGCGCAACGTGTCGTCCAAACATCCTCGTTGCCATTTGTTGTTTTTGAAAAAGAGAGATACTTATCGATTGTTGAGTACGGTTTGGACGATCAGACGTTGCTCTTGTTACGGCCATGTGAACATGTTGAAGCAGAGAGTTGATTCGTACGTTGATGTCGTAGATAAGGCGAAGATTCGTGACAATATGCAATTACTGCGTGCTTAGCGGAGGCTGAGATTCTATCCGAAGCTCTTTAAAGTCCTAATCTAGTCAAATATCGAGGTCAAGTACGATTAGAAACTAAAACCAATTAAAAAAATGGATTTTAATACCAAAGATAATTTGCAAACGATGTGCGTAAACTACTGTAGTAAATATTTAAATTTTCTACCTAAGATGGGTGCTAAAAGAACGATAATCGGAAATGACCTTGAAATCTCGATCACGATCTTCAAGAATTTCTTTTAAAAAAATTTCTTGAAAAGAAAAGACGAGAATACAAAAAATGAACATTGAATTATAGATTTTTGCTTCTTTGATCGACTGTAATAGGACTTTAAAAGAGACATTCGAGCATTAGGCTTTACGCTTAGAAGATAATCTACGGCTTGGAAAAAAGAAAAAAAGAAAAAAATAAAGAAACTAAATCGAAGCCGCCAACTGTTCCCTCGCTTTTAGGGGCTGCGAAATGGAAACGGCCAGACCGAACGAGAAGAGCTTGTAAAACTATGTACGGCGATAGGCGTTTTCGATCGGTGCTGCTGTACACCTTAGAATCCCGAGATTCACGTTTAATTTCCGAACTTTTCTGGTTATGCACAACCATAAAGCATTGTGATCGATGCCTCGTTTCGCGATCGAACGCACTCGATTGTGAGTCATTAACCAAATGAAGCTCAGAGTAAATTAAAAAGATAGTAACTGATTGAATCCTGTCTAAAAATATACGTTGAAAGTGTGAAATGGAGAATTTTTTTTATATATGTATAGGAACCTCCGTTAAAAAGGAAACTAGGTTTCTTGATTAAAAATCTGTTATAAAATTGTTAAAAAAGGGAAATGGATTCAAAATGATATTTTCCTGAAAGAGTTACGCGAATAATAAAAAGAAATAATTTTCATGTTTTCGATCTGGTTTTTTCACAGAATCAAAGTCTACGATAAGATCGCCACGTGGATCATCGAGATAACTTAGAAGAGATATTGTTCTATCAATTGTGCTGAAATTTATTGTTAACTGCGTTTCACTAATCGCAAATTTAACTAATTAAACCGTAATTATAAAATTAATCGTTGAACGCAGTCAGCGTTATTAAAGGTGAATTTTATATGAGGGAAAATATATATTAAGATTGTCAATCGTTTAACCGATGTATTCTTTCCTGAAAAAAAAACAAAGAAGAGAAGAAGGTAAATTATAATGTCAATCGATTTACACGCAATTTCGTGCGAATTTCTACTTGGCTGTTGTTCTTCCTTTCGCAGAATGAAATATCGTCGACGAAGGAGAATGAAAACACAAACTTTATGTTTTTTAGGTGAAAGTTTTTTACAAGAAACGAAGATCAACCCGGTAAGAAACAAGATCGGAAGCTTCGGAAACTACACGTGCATTATTGTGTGTATACGTCGTACGCATTACGATATACCGGTTAAACTAATTGTAATTGTTGTCGCGATGGTAATAGATTCTAATTAATCGAGGTATATTTTTCTCTCGGTGCCGATGCACGGCCTGTAACAGGTGCACACCTTGCCCTTTCGTCTCTTTTTTTATAGATCGAGCAATAAACGTCTTGTTTCAACAGAAGAACTGTTTTATTTACTTCCGGACCACGTGACGAGGAGTTTATCTTTTTCAGTGGAGGTGCAAAAGGAGAAAAAGAAGGGGAAGATATGGAGTACGATTATCTTATCGCTGAAGATATTTATGCCGCACAAGTAGGAAATTAGTGCTTTAATTTAAAATAATTTGAAACATTGGAGTATAACATTGAACGACAGCTTTGTATTTCTTCTTCGAAAAATTCACCCACGCATAGATGTCCACATCTTGCAGGAAATTGCTTCACCTACGAATTATCATCATAAGTATTACACTTTTAATACTTCTTACATTTTTATCTATCATGTATATAATTTTATAAGTTTATCTATCATGTATATAAACATTATGTGCACTCTCCCATTCAAAATTTCTCACAAATGCATAAACATCGTTGGCCCACATATCATATCAAATATGAAAGCTAAATCTAATTCTTCTCCTAACACGTTGAAATCCGTAGTTTGTTGTAGACGCCCATTATTCACCTTTCCTACCTACCTGCACCGTCCAGTCGTCCCTTCAGCTAGATCCACGGATTATCGATCCAGAGAAGGTCAGTACCAAACCGCATCAGACGAGACAGCATCAACTCTCAATAGCGCGTTCCTAGAGAGAAAGAACGACAGACCCTTCTCCTTTCTCGTCATTGATTCCACTGCTAGGATGCCTGCGTGGCTACCGAGGGGCGTGCGTTTACACTCGCGGCGCTCAGCCAGTGAACAACGTGACGCCGAGCCGAGCATTTCGTCGCGTGCATTCACCTTCTTGCATTCGTCCTGCTCAGCTCATCTTAACTGTGCTCCCGTTGTGAAAGTTTCGACACAAAACGAACACTGTCAAACGAAGTCAGAGTGCGACAAGACTGTGCCAATACAGGAAATCACCGGCTCCGCAAATAGAAAGAGGCTATTTGGCGGTCACTGCTAGATCTTAGTAGGAAACGACACTCACGTACGTCTTTTGGCTGTCTATTTTTGTGATTCAGTGAGACGGAGGATTTTACGTCTTCTTTCAGATTTATTGATTTTTTTCTGTTTCAATAGCGAAAAGCTTCAGAAAAGATACGATTGACACAGAGCGAGAGTGATCGATACAGAGGTTTTTATTTAAAAAAAAAACTGCGAGTGATTTTGAAGTTTAATAGAATAGAATCAGGATGCTTCTAAATATCCAAATACATCGGTGTATGTTGTCATAAGGGTCTGGAAATTTATGATAGAATCTTTTGAGTAACACGGTGTCATTCATAGTTTCCTATTGTCGTGTGGATCTTGAAAGAATGATTGATGAATTTTCTATATTTCCAATGAGCGTGTCATATACGAGATGTTTAATTTATGAGTAATAAAAAATTCAATGGCGAGTTTTGTATTTGACGAATGTATATTACCTTTATTTTAATGAATGGCGATGGTGTTGAAAAATTAGTTATTGATGAAAAGTTAGAATCTGAAGTTGATACTTTTCAGTATCAATGTATCAATGATTAATTAGGTCTGTTGAGAGTCTTCTTTCAACTCCGTTAATTTTTTGAATTGTATGCGAAGTATATAAGTGGGCATGAATGATGAGCTACGAGACTTTTGTAATGTAATACATTCTGGTTGTATCAGAGAATGGTGATAATGTTCTGAAGTTGATTAGTGGAGGAAAATTTAAAATGAACAGTGGATGCTTTTGATTAATTTTAACGTCGACAGAAGTGCTTTTGATGAGTGCAGCAACTTTTCAAGCGAACTAGCATGAGACTAGGTCGAGTCATTTGTTGGAGATTTCACGTCGTCGTTTGTTAATGATTCTGATTACTTCCTCATTGCCGTGTGGATAGGTATAAAGGATAGTTGAGCATCAAGAAAATTACTGCACGAGAATTCTATAAAATTCTTTGCACCCACTTGTCAAAACAAAGAATATCTGTAAACAAAATTCCTCTCTCTTAAAGTTGTTCTTTCCGGAAAATTTAATTCACCATCTTATACAATATTCATATCGTTGATGCAAATTTATGTCATTTAAAAAGTATGATTTCTAATGTACTTTCTTCGTGTAATTATACATTTTGTCAAATTATTTTAATTGCTTTGCTTTCTGTATGTCTCTTAATCTACACATAGACAAATACTTGACAATTTCTTCGAATTTAACAATTTAGGAACTATCTACTGTTGTGAAATATCTAATATATGTCTAACAATTATCTAACAATCATCCAGTGATGCCAATACACCTCATTAAAAATTAATTGTTTCTCCCCGCATTTATATGCATTTTAAAATTCAGGATACTTTTGAGACAAAATACTTGAGGAAATCTTGTTAATTTCTTAGATACACGACCCAGTGTATTATACTGGTAAATACCTCCACTTCTTTTTGTACAATTCCATTCTCTATTCGATATATTCTTCATTATCTCAGCTCTATTCTTTGTTCGATAAATCGTACAGTCAATCAACTGGACTCTAGACAAGTTGTGAACATGTTGATCATTCTTTAAGAAGTAGGAAACGAGTCTAAGTAATGAGTTCTTCCAATTTCTCTTCGAACAAATAAATATCGCTTGACCAACAATCCTTGAAAGTTAAGCTCTATTTGAATTTCAGTCGAGTAACGATTGCACGAGCAAATGTTGACGTTTGATCGAATATACGAGTGGCATGAAAATATTTGGAAGACCATTGCCCTCGTTTCATTTAATTCCTGACAAGATACCTGAGCGCGTAAACAAAAGTATTGGAGTTTTAAGTAGAAACTTTTATCTCTTGAATTGATGATCCGAAAATTATTATAATAGCACCGATCTAAAGATATAGAAACTCTAAGATGAGACGGATATTTATAAAAAAATATGACGAGATGGTCTAAGAAAATTAGTTCGCGATGGCTATAAATTACATATTTGTCACAACATCACGACAGTAAAAAAAGAAACCTCATCGAATCATTTTCAATGATCATCGTTCTATAATCTAATCGTATGTGAGAAAGAAATAAACAAAGGTCTATAACAATGTATTCTTATATAATTCTTGATATTCTGTAATTCAGTGATTCTCAATTCCACGAAATCCTTAGACACGCAACGTTTCATATTATTCGAATAAATAATATTCGGTATATGTATTTACTTATGTAAGAAATGTAAGAAATGCGCAGAGAAAATTTGAAAATAATATAACAAAATAGAAAGGGATAGTTCAACACGTATGTTCTTCTCACACGCCAATCGAAGATATCTTCCGTTTTTTCGTTGACCTCGCGATCCACTCGCACGTACACATAGAGTCGTCCCTGCTAGGAACTAAAGCGTCGCGTCACAACTTCGATATAGGTATCGGCATCGACATCGACAATTCCAAGACTCTTTGCACTTTTGCCGTAGTTATATTCCATTCCTGCATTTATTTATAATGGGCTTCTCACCTCCAAATTTGAAAATTGTTAATGGACAGTCGATGAGTGTTTTAAATATAGCTACATACCTTGGCACATTAAGGATTTCAATTTTGAGTTAAGTGCTGGGATTATTTAAGAAGGATCCGTGACAAAGAAAAGGTTACGAATCGCTGCTCTAAATCATTCATCTTACCAACAGGTCACGCATTTTGCTCTCGACACAACGGAGTTAGACACCGGTTCAATTTGTTCAATGCTGCTTATTACTATACTATTATTCACGGTATTGAGAAAACTAATTCAGCTATATCATTATCAGTGATGAATCGTCAGGTGATCATAATTGGATTAAATGTAATTTCTAAGCGACGCCAATTGCCATTAACATTAAAGCGAAAATCGATAATTAACGATCCTTAGTCGATGAACATTAATATGTTAAGATCGATCAAAGATTGAACGTAATCTGATCGTGGTAATTCCATGCGCTCCAAAAGAAAGAGTTTTCATATATTATGTAGATTCTTTCGTATCGGTATAATGATTTCCGGAAGAAAACACGTATGAGTCTCTGAGAAGTCACGAAACCAAACTGATTGATTCTATTTTTGTCTATTTTCTAATTCCATTGGCCAGGAATGTAGTTACTAACCAGAACTTGTTAGAAAATATATAAACCATGGAAGCTGAGTAGCGCACCGAAACTCCAACGTGAATTTTAAAGACTAACATTTATAATATCGTCATTTTTCTGACTTTGTAAGTTATGAAATTGAAATGTGTGTCTCCTGACTAGCTCATATATCACTTTTTTGTATAGAGAAGCAAAATTATTTGTCGATTAGCATTATTAGACTGCACGTGACATATCTATCGTATATCCTTGAGGTTTAATTAATTCTGACGAACTTCGTTCTTTAGGTGCTTGCATCGTCTGTTCTGCGTGATGAAGACCAAACTAAAAATTTCATATTATAATGTTATTTGTATTATAGAAAACTTTAAATATTAGATTCCTTCAAGGAAAGCAAGATACTTGTAGAAATCTCGGACAATGTTTAACTTTTCAGTTACCTATTTATATTCGTCTGTATATTGCGTTCGCTATTAAAGAAAAATCTATCGTGAAAGAACACATCAGGAGCACGATAATATTTATATATATTTATTCGTAATATTTATATTCCAATAAAACTACTTAACTGTCTTCGTCAAAGAAGATATGAATAATTCTAATCGATGAAAAACGAGAATATTGAAAGTATGATAATGGCTACATTATAACATATGCCATTACATAATAATAAATGTATAATTTAATACGAATTACATAATGGCAGTGCTATAAATGAATAATACGTCGATTTTGTAATGGTATGGAGAAACAAGTTATGAGAACAGATTTAATTAGCTGTGTTTTAATACGGTGCTTCGAGATAGAATAAGATATTCTTACTTCTGAGTGTGTTTAGTTAGTTAAAATTATGCGAAGGCTTTCCTATCATTTATATTTGCCATTGAAAATTAACCAGAAGTTATCTCACATTTTGTAATCGGTATTATTATAATTGATCTTATGCTCGATTCCTTACAATCCAAACTTTAAATGAACTTCAATTGCTTTCACGTTCTGTAAAGTAATCAGAACATTTAGAAAGTAAAAGAGGATGCACTAACTATAGCGAACGATTCGTGCAACCGCAGGAAGTCTCTTTTGTTTCTATGCTCCTCAACTTTCATAAGCTAACATTAACAAGACTAAAGTCGAAATATTTTTTAAACTAATCGGCTTTAGACAATCAATAGCTTCTATTTCCCATATTTTTATTTTTGCAGAATATTCCAAATAACTTGATAATTCATTTTACATTTACATCGTTGCACTTACGCAAAAATTGAAATTATAAACAAGAAATAGGTTCCCTATATCATTTATCTCCACCCTCCCGAACATTCTTATTTAACTTCAGTGAAACTAAAGATACGATTTGTTTGAGTTGTATAAATCATTCACACTATAGAATCGACCTACTTCGAAACAATGGAAGGAGACATACTTACTCCACTCCAACGAGTCGATTCTATTTCTTTTCTCGTGCGTAGCTTTTATAAATAATCCAATTGCATTGCTCGAAGGGCACGCGAGTAATGTGCGGTTATCTCGACCAGGGCACGTATCCCCGTAATTTTTCTCGTGTCTAGCGTGAAGTTCACTCGTTTGAGTACCGTTAGAACCCACATCGGCTACGGCACAGCCGGAGGAGAATGGTTTCGGGCGTAAAATTTGATGATGATGCTGGCTTGCCACAGGAACTCGAGGTCAATGACTTTCTAAATGTGACTCTATGCAGGACAAATACGTTAATATTACTTATGTCCATCGTGTACTGAATTTCTATTTTTAGAGTATTGTGACAACCACCTGACACATTAAATTTCATTAAGTGTTTCAAAACAAACAGGTTTTTTGGTTCACTTTGACGTCTAGAGAACAGCTTATCCGAATTAAAGATTTTGTTATTAATGATATCAATGATGAAATGTAGAGTTTGATGTCTTTATCCCGCTTATTTTAGACTTTTGATCATTCGTTGGCGATAATGATGGTTATCTTAACATTTGGATATACATACATTTAATCGTTCCAATTAATTTTACGAATACGATTCTCCTTCAAATTTTTAATCATCGTTCGTTTTTTTACTTGTTATCACTCCAATTCTTTCGTTTCCACTTAGCTCGTATTTGTTGTACAATTTGATAATAACTTGATATGACGATTTATAATAACAATAGTACGAATTGGTTTATTATTAGCAGGCCCAAAGGAGAATCGCTGAATTGATGCTACTGTAATAAGAGGAGGAACTGAGAGAAAAACGATGGAGATTCTTGGAGTGAAATTCGCTCCGTTAAACGTTCCATTAAATCGAAGATTAGAAACGCTCTCAGCCGCGCTTTGGATCCTAATTTTCGCATTTGGAAATTTCGCGGGATATATTCTCACCGCCTATTTTCTTTTCTTTACCCAAACCATGCGCTACTTCATATTGCTTTACTTCATCTGGATGTATTACGATTGGAACAAGTTCGATGTAGGCAAAATACGGTAAGTTCGAAACATTTATTTACTTATTTATTTATTTTATTTGCAAGCTTCAGCCCTATGTTACAAAATGAACAAAAGGAACTACATTTTTAAATGTAGAAGTAAAGGAATAAATACGGAAACTAACGTAATATAATAACTTGTTAAGAGTTACATTACTGCAAAGCTTGCCGATGAACATGTAGAAAGAACCAAAGAAGAATTTAAGTTGGCTAGAAATACCATTACATATCTGCGACGTCTTTTAAAAAAATTTATATTAAAATCTTATCATTTGATAAATTTGATTTAGATTACTAATCGATAATATAGCTTCACCTTATATAAACGAATAAATAAGGAGTGAAACGCGATTTGATACGCACGTTGAATAAGAATCATACAAAAAATTGATTCGATTCAGTTACATGGAATGATTAGCATTTTACTTCTTCGATTAGATAAAACGTATTTATATTGGAGATTCGTGTTAATAAGTTTTATCCATAACATATGCTGTTTCGAGCGAACTATATGCGGCGAAAACTTCATTTGAATTCGTTTATTTATATAATCATCGACGGAGATGTGACTTAACGAGTTGGATTTCTGTACTACAGGCGAAAAGTCCTGCAGTGGATGAGAAGCTGCGCGTGGAGCCGACACTTCTGTAACTACTTTCCTATAAAATTAGTGAAAACCACTGACTTGGATCCGAACAAGTTGTATTTATTCTGTAGTTTTCCGCATGGGGTCCTATCGTCAGGAGTTTATGGCGCATTCGGAACAGATATCATCGGCTGTAGAGAACTTTTCCCGGGTATCGAATTTAGAGTCGTCGTACTGAACCAACACTTTAAAGCGCCGCTTTTCCGCGAGTATTGTCGCGTCAACTGTACGTATCATTTATTACTTTTTATTTGACCATCATATATAAATAGCTGTTGCAGTTACATACCTCATGTAACAAAAAGACGTAGGATGAACGACACTTCATAATTGAAATATTTTAGACTGTTTTTATGATGTACCTAGTATACAAATATTAATATACGCATATGCTATTGCCGGATAATTTCTGTTATTTGTTAAATAACAAAGTATTAAATCACTGTAGCAAGCAATAATATGTAGCACCGATATTCTTTCCTTGTCTCCAGAAACATTTCTTAAATCGTCATTCCACGAAATATAGTAGATTTCTTTTTGAATTTATCCGGCTTCTGCAATTTTATATTTTTATAATTTTATACTTCGCCACCAATGATTTACTATGGTTTAATTAAAATGTAGGCGCTCTTGGAAGCAGTTCAGAAATCTTGACACAGCAACTATCAACGAGACCTCCGCCACCATACACCGGAAAGGCGACAGTTCTGATCGTCGGTGGAGCGGCAGAAGCATTCGAATGTAAGCCGGGCACTTATCGCATCCTAATAAAAAGGAGGAAAGGCTTCGTAAAGCTCGCGCTGAAAAATGGGTTAGAATTATCATTGTTTTCGTTGATTCGAATCATAAGCTCATGAGAAAATGAAACAATAGAAACCTTGTTTGTCTGAATGTTGAAACCCTACGCAAATGTAATTCCCCCCGCATAAAGTATACTCGCCTTTAACCTTTAACTTATTAAAATTTTTATCAGTATGCATAAATTAATTGAGTCTCGACGAAACGAATCGCTAATTCACAATGAAATTAACCCTCAGCTGACATCTGTGGATTAAAATAGATAATTTTACTTTATATTCTATGGTTCGCGTGATAAGTGTCATTAACGAACTTAATCGCATAAAGTAGAAGACTACGATAAAGACTCAATAAAATCCACTGTACAATTGTGTATCACGATTCCAATTTTTTGATCGTTAAACTGCCGATTTTTATGCAAATTCCTATTTTTATAAATCTAATCAAACAACTACATAGAGATTTATTTCATCCACTGTATGTTATATTTTTGGTATTTTGTATATTTTTGTACATTGTGTGACGCTGCACATTTTTGCAACTTTAAATTCTCTCTAAGCGCATAGAATACCGCGGTACAACGATAAGCACTATGACTCAACAATCGACTGAGCGTTTGAGGGTTAACCACGGTATGACAATTAAAATATCGTTGAAACTCATGGAATTCGTATGTTTCAGAAACCCTCTGGTTCCTGTCTGTTCATTCGGAGAAACCGACGTATACGATCAATTGACCTGGCCAGATGGCTCATACATGAAGAGACTACAGGAGTACATTCGTAAGAAAATCGGTATAGCGCCGATTCTACTGGTTGGTCGAGGATTCTTCCAGTACACTTTCGGTCTTATCCCTCGACGGAAGCCAATTACTGTCGTTGGTAAGTGTTCAAAGCTGAGAAATATCTAGCTCTATAATACAATACTCTTTCGAGAAATATAATTTTAGGGAAGAGACTTTGGTGTTTGGAATACGTTTGAAAATTTTTATATTCTTATAGAGGAAATTCCAAGCTTCTTTAATGCTAATTAATTTTTTTTCTCAGTCGGCAGTCCGATGGAGTTACCAAAGATAGAAGAACCAACGAGAGAACAAGTCGAGGAATATCACGAGAAATTCGTCAAGCACCTGGTGAACTTTTTCGAGAACGAGAAACACAAGTACATCGAAAACGCGGATTCGGTGCATCTTGAGTTCGTATAGTCATATCGCGAAATAATCATCATTTACAACGGACCCGCGCAGTGAAGGACCAAGAAATTGCTCAATTATAAACGTACAACGTGTATTTATGTATTAAATAAGTTTTAAGATGTGAAATAGTTGAGCAGAAAATGGACAATTGTTAGGCGATGTAGTCAATTCGATAATTACGTGTCTTAAGAACTCTGCATAGAAAAGAACCAATAGAATTATGGTATTATGAATAAGGACCGAAGAGCTATACAGTATGTCCAGTTTAAATGTACGCACGTTACCATACCTTCAGTTGTTAGAAATACGAATAATCTTTTGTATGAAGGTTTTATTGTCGAAGAAAACTGTCCAAATTTTGTTTAATCTATTTCTTTGAATCCATCGTTTAATTCATCATCGAATGAAATAACTTTTATACGAAGAGTACGTTTGCATTTTTAATAGTTGAAGAAACAATAGCATTCAGATGTATGTATTTAAACTGAACATATTCCATAAACAATTATACTTTTTCCATATGTAATTATACTTTTACATGGAAACATATATATTTCGTGAGATGTTGTTGTTAAGAATTTTTAGGATCGCAGCAATGCCGAAGCAGAATATTGTAGATATTACATTTGTATGCAACATAAATTGATGTACTTGTCACGCATTCTTCCACCCTGTTAAGGTTTTAAGTTCGAATCAGAAGATATTAAATACGTTCTTAGCGAGCACTTCTCTTCGATGATTGCTTGTACGAAGGCAGGGATTTTAAGAATCATTGATACTACAATAATTGTACATATGCATAAAGCAGATAACAGAGAATGTAAATTAGAATAGTTGCTATCTACTCTGTGCATGTGATTTGGTGACAAACCTGTAGTGTCTACTTTTTTGTAATATTCATAGAATCTTACGTGACTTCTAAAACGCCCTATTTCTTTGGGCTTCTCGGAAGATATACATAAATGCAATAGAAAAATGCGTTTGCACGAGGTGACAAATAATCACACACGTAGCATGTAAGCCTCGTAATTGTCAGTAAGCAAAAAATGACTGCGATCTTTCGCAGTATGGCTGATAAACATATGTACAAACATATTTGTTGATAAAATGAAATGGACCATTTCTTGTATATATAGCAACCTTTGTTACAAACAAAACTGAGTCTTTTATACAAAACACTTGTTGTTAGAAATTGTTAAAAAGATTCATACAAGTTGTTATGCACTACAATGCGATATAGTATGTGCACGTCCTTGATTCAGTGGTTAAATTAATTGAAGTTGTCGCGTTGATAATACAGTAAATACGAATAATTAATCGAGGTATATTTTTCTTTCGATATCGGTGCACTCTATTAGATGCACACCTGTCCCTTTCGTCCGTTTCCCTTTATTTTTATATGTATATACATATATCGTGCTATAAACATATTGCCTGAACAGAATAATTGTCTGATACGCTTCTAGTACACGCGACGAGCAGTTTCACCATTTTACTGGTGATATGGAAGGAAAAAAGGGAAAGATATGGAGTACGATTATCTTATTGATAAAGATACTTCTATTCTACTGACGCCTAAAACTGGAGATTTACTTCTGAACAATTATTTTTGTTTAATTAGTATCTTTGAATAATTATGCCGATAGAATGTGACGTTGCAAGACACTCTTATGAGGCAATTAATAATGGGAAATATTTCCTATTAAATACTGTGCAGAAGTTTCAATGGAGAATTTTATGGAATTTTTTGATTACAAGACATTCGGGAGATTTTACTAGATTGCTACAATAACAAGTATGAGTAACAACAATACAGTACAGATGAAGCTCGGAAGCTTCTATTCGTCAGAAAGTGGAATGTCAAAAGATCGTAATCCTTATACGTATTCCTTCTTAAATCAACATGTTTTACTTTCCCTATTTTGTTTCTTGTCCTTAATTTAACTAAAAAAATTCATAATATCGGCAATGGAAAAATTGATACCGCTGTTATTAGCTCCTTGTCTTTCTTTTTGTATTTCTTTCATGAAAAATTGAACCACGCATAAATGTTCATATTTTGCAGAAAATTGCTTTACCTGTTAATTATCATAATAAGTATTACACTTTTAATACTTCCTAAATTTTTATCTATCACGTAGATAAACATTGCGTGCACTCTCCCATCCACAAATTCCGATAAACGCATACACATTCTCAGTTCACTTATCATAAATATGAAAGCTAAATCTAGTAATCCTTAAAATCATTTTCCCAACTCTTCCGTC